CTAGTTCCTGCACCAGGCCTAGTTCCTGCACCTGGCCTAGTTCCTGCACCTGGCCTAGTTCCTGCACCAGGCCTAGTTCCTGCACCTGGCCTAGTTCCTGCACCTGGCCTAGTTCCTGCACCTGACCTAGTCCCTGCATCTGGCCTAGTTCCTGCACCTGGCCTAGTTCCTGCACCTGGCCTAGTTCCTGCACCTGGCCTAGTTCCTGCACCTGGCCTAGTTCCTGCACCTGGCCTAGTTCCTGCACCTGGCCTAGTTCCTGCACCTGGCCTAGTTCCTGCACCTGCCTAGTTCCTGCACCTGACCTAGTCCCTGCATCTGGCCTAGTTCCTGCACCTGGCCTAGTTCCTGCACCTGGCCTAGTTCCTGCACCTGACCCAGTTTCCTGCACCTGATCCAGTTTCCAGTAGCTGACCTAGTTCCTGCACATGACCTAGTTCCTGCACCTGGCCTAGTTCCTGCACCTGACCTAGTTTCCTGCACCTGACCTAGTTCCTGCACCTGACCTAGTCCCTTCATCTGGCCTAGTTCCTGCACCTGGCCTAGTTCCTGCACCTGGCCTAGTTCCTGCACCTGGCCTAGTTCCTGCACCTGGCCTAGTTCCTGCACCTGACCCAGTTTCCTGCACCTGATCCAGTTTCCTGTAGCTGACCTAGTTTCTTGTAGCTGACCTAGTTCCTGCACATGACCTACTTTTCTGCACCTGACCTAGTTCCTGCACCTGGCCTAGTCCCTGCACCTGGCCTAGTTCTTGCACCTGATCTAGTTCCTGCACCTGACCTAGTTTCCTTCACCTGACCTAGTTTCCTGCCCCTGACCTAGTTCATGTACCTGACCTAGTTTCCCGCACTTGACCTAATTTCCTGCACCTAACCTAGTTCCTGCACCTGACCTAGTTCCTGCATCTGACCTAGTTCCTGAACCTCAGTTTACTGCACGCGACCTTATTCGTGTGATTTCTGCATATGAGATGCATTCCAGAATCCAGATCCCTTCAGAGGCATTAATTTATTCCCTTGCAGGGCCTTCAATCGTGCACCACAATTATATATCTCAGTCATTCTACTCCCATGAGAATGCAGGTTCACGGCTCTCCCTTCATAGGGATGATTCTTGTTTCAGTCTTTCATCCCTTTTCATGTTTTTATTTGCATTTATACCCTTCAAAATGTAGTTATGTCCTTTCTAACAAATATATGTGCTTTCCAATAAATTTACGTCCTTTCCAATAAAATTGTCATTTTCAATAAATTTGTCCTTTTTTTTCAATAAATTTATGCCGTATCAATAAATTTATGTCCTTTCTCAAATACGGAGATTAGAAGTGTAATGCACAGTTTACAAGAGACCTTATCAACAACATAATAGTATGGTTTTAGGATTTGTGATACTTATACTTCTTGATATAAATGAAAGCAGTCTATTAGCCTAATTACAAACACTCCAGAACTGCTGTCTTGGCCTCACATTCTATCTAACCATGACTCAAGTTATCTTCACTGGGATAAGGCGCTATATTGTCCTGTACAAGAGCTACTGATAACCTAAATTATACATGTAACATTAGCAAAGATACGTGTATTATCGGTGGACGCTTTGCATTAACGGTATATAATATCGACAAGGTGATAAGACACGTGTACAACACCTGGATATCTTTATTGACGTTCCGCCTGCCCAGCAGGCTTCTTGAAACAAATACAGAGGCGACTCTTGAACTGGAGAGAGCGGAACAACTGGAGAGGAACTTTTGAAGTTGTACAGTTCTGAACTGAATACCTGTAATTACTGTATAGGTGCACGGTTTTGAACATCTGAAATTATTGTACAGGTGTACAGTTCTAAACTGAACACATGAAATTTATTGTACAGATGCACAATTCTGAACTGAACATCTGTAATTTTTTTCCACTGTCTGCAGAAATATAGGCTGCTTCTGTACTAGTTTGAAAATGCCTGTTGTGCAGGTGAGACGTCGCCCAGTGAAGATACCCTGCTGTGGCTCAGTGAAGATACCCTGCTGTGGCCCAGTGAAGATATCCTGCTGTGGCCAGTGAAGATACCCTGCTGTGGCCCAGTGAAGATATCCTGCTGTGGCCCAGTGAAGATACCCTGCTGTCGCCCAGTGAAGATACCCTGATGTGGCCCAGTGAAGATACCCTGCTGTGGCCCAGTGAAGATACCCTGCTGTGGCCCAGTGAAGATATCCTGCTGTGGCCCAGTGAAGATACCCTGCTGTGGCTCAGTGAAGATATCCTGCTGTGGCCCAGTGAAGATACCCTGCTGTGGCTCAGTGAAGATATCCTGCTGTGGCCCAGTGAAGATACCCTGCTGTGGCTCAGTGAAGATATCCTGCTGTGGCCCAGTGAAGATACCCTGCTGTGGCCAGTGAAGATACCTGCTGTCGCCCAGTGAAGATACCCTGCTGTGGCCCAGTGAAGATACCCTGCTGTCGCCCAGTGAAGATACCCTGCTGTGGCCCAGTGAAGATACCCTGCTGTCGCCCAGTGAAGATACCCTGCTGTGGCCCAGTGAAGATACCCTGCTGTGGCTCAGTGAAGATACCCAGCTGTGGCCCAGTGAAGATACCCTGCAATGGCCCAGCGAAGATATCCTGCTGTGGTCCAGTGAAGATACCCTGCTGTGGCCCAATGAAGATACCCTGCTGTGCCCCAGTGAAGATACCCTGCTGTGGCCCAGTGAAGATACCCTGCTGTGGCCCAGTGAAGATACCCTGCTGTGGCCCAGCGAAGATACCCTGCTGTGGCCCAGTGAAGATACCCTGCTGTGGCCCAGTGAAGATACCCTGCTGTGGCCCAGTGAAGATACCCTGCTGTGGTCCAGCGAAGATACCCTGCTGTGGCCCAGTGAAGATACCCTGCTGTGGCCCAGTGAAGATACAGTGCTGTGGCCCAGTGAAGATACCTTGCTGTTACCCAGTGAAGATACCCTGCTGTCGCCCAGTGAAGATACCTTGCTGTTACCCAGTGAAGATACCCTGCTGTCGCCCAGTGAAGATACCCTGCTGTTACCCAGTGAAGATACCCTGCTGTCGCCCAGTGAAGATACCCTGCTGTCACCCAGTGAAGATACCCTGCTGTGGCCCAGTGAAGATACCCTGCTGTGACCCAGCGAAGATACCCTGCTGTGGCCCAGTGAAGATACCCTGCTGTGGCCCATTGAAGATACCCTGCTGTGGTCCAGTGAAGATACAGTGCTGTGGCCCAGTGAAAATACCCTGCTGTGACCCAGTGAAGATACCCTGCTGTGGCCCAGTGAAGATACCCTGCTGTCGCCCAGTGAAGATACCCTGCTGTCGCCGTGAGCCCGCACCAGTGAAGATACCCTGCTGTCGCCCAGTGAAGATACCCTGCTGCTACCCAGTGAAGATACCCTGCTGTGGCCCAGTGAAGATACCCTGCTGTCGCCCAGTGAAGATATCCTGCTGTCGCCCAGTGAAGATACCCTGCTGTGGCCCAGTAAAGATACCCTGCTGTCGCCCAGTGAAGATACCCTTCTGTGGTCCAGTGAAGATACCCTGCTGTTGCCCAGTGAAGATATCCTGCTGCGCCCAGTGAAGATACCCTGCCGTCGCCCAGTGAAGATACCCTGCCGTCGCCCAGTGAAGATACCCTGCTGTCGTCCAGGACGATACCCTGCTGTCGCCCAGTGAAGATACCCTGCTGTCGCCCAGTGAAGATACCCTGCTGTCGTCCAGGAAGATACCCTGCTGTCACACAGTGAAGATACCCTGCTGTTGCCCAGTGACAGTACCCTGCTGTCACAGTGAAGATACCCAGCTGTCACCCAGTGAAGATACCCAGCTGTCACCCAGTGAAGATACCCAGCTGTCACCCGGTGAAGATACCCAGCTGTCACCCGGTGAAGATACCCAGCTGTCACCCGGTGAAGATACCCAGCTGTCACCCGGTGAAGATACCCAGCTGTCACCCGGTGAAGATACCCAGCTGTCACCCGATGAAGATACCCAGCTGTCACCCAGTGAAGATACCCTGCTGTCACCCGGTGAAGATACCCAGCTGTCGCCCGGTGAAGATACCCTGCTGTCACCCGGTGAAGATACCCTGCTGTCACCCGGTGAAGATACCCAGCTGTCGCCCGGTGAAGATACCCAGCTGTCACCCGGTGAAGATACCCAGCTGTCACCCGGTGAAGATACCCAGCTGTCACCCGGTGAAGATACCCAGCTGTCACCCGGTGAAGATACCCAGCTGTCACCCGGTGAAGATACCCAGCTGTCACCCAGTGAAGATACCCTGCTGTCACCCGGTGAAGATACCCAGCTGTCGCCCGGTGAAGATACCCAGCTGTCACCCAGTGAAGATACCCTGCTGTCACCCGGTGAAGATACCCAGCTGTCGCCCGGTGAAGATACCTGCTGTCACCCAGGGGAAGATACCCAGCTGTCGCCCTGTGCAAACTTATTAATGCATATAAATTCAGGAATAAAATCTCGTTACAAATTAAGCAAAGATTTTCCATTAAATTAATATTACTAAAAATTACGGAATAGACACACTCTCAACTCATTATAGAACTTAAGTACTAATTTTTGCCTTATCGTTTTAATATAATAATATTCAGTGAGTGTGGAGAAATTTAATCTGCTCGGGAGAGCAAAAAAATTGCCTAGTGAAAATAAGAACTAAAATACTCAGCATAACTCAGAATTTTCATTAGTATTTTGCGGATTATGTTTTTTTTTATCTTCCAAACGCATATGAAATAGTACATATCTGCAAACCTGGAGAAATATTATATGTATATTGCGTTCTACACCATATTAAAAAAAAGGCATAAAAGTTACTTTTTTTAGTTTTAGGAATTCAACAAACCCCCTATTTTCAATTTATAACGCATCAACATGGAATTTTTTGGTCTCTGTTTTACCGCAGACAGATGCGTTTCTTCTGTTACAAGAGCGTACTCTCACAGAGACTGAGCCGTATGAATGCAAAAGTCACGATGAAAGTACTTACGAGGATGTGGAGAAGCGAGCAGTACACCCTAGATCACGGCTGAGCGGTGACTGCCGCCTCTCTCTCTAACACTTACCTACACAACCTTCGCTTTCCCGCCAAAAATTGCGTCTGCGCACCTGAACTTCCGGCAGCGGCATGTACTGAAGAGTAAGTCATGATTAGCTATCCCCTGAGGGATATCTTTAAGTGCTTGCAGGAATTAGGTATCTCCTAAGGGGTACTTGTAAATGCTTGCAATAATTAGATATCTCCAAAGGGTTACCTTCAAGTGCTTGCAAGAATCACGTATCCCCTAAGCCCTAAGGGATATAGATAGCTCCTAAGGGATTCCTTTAAGTTCTTGTAATAATCAGGTATCCCCGAAAGGGTGGGGGCAGCAGACCTTCAAGCGATTGCCAGATTTCTTTTTCCTTCCTCTGCCATAATTTCGTTTTTATTTGGTTCATAATTCGAGAAGGCTTCATCGGCTTTAAATTTTCAGCGCTTACATCCGGTAACCGGGACAAAAAAAAAATCCTTGAACAATTGGCGTGTTCAGGTGTCCTATGGCCAAAGTTGCATAACCCAGTCCAAGATTCCTGCAACAACTCCTATAGCTTCCATTAAAAACTTTGCAGCCTAGCTTCAAACGTTCGGAAACGTTGCTTTTTAATTCGACAACAGCGTCGATCTAGCAGGGTTCCCCGGAGTGGTCAATATCCACACCTAAGAGTCGATGGGACTATCGGAGGGGTCGATCAGTAAGTTTATTTAGGTACACATACAGTTACACAGATTATCATACATAGCAGCATATGTGTAGATTACATAGCATAACCCAAAAAAAGATCAGACAAAATGATTTACGTCCATAGGGGTCCTTGTGATAAGTATTATTTATATATAAAAGTTAAAACAGGTAAGTAATTTAACTGTTTAGTTATAATATAAAAGGTGATATACTAGGGGTAAGGTAAATTAAGTTATTTACATTATTAAAGATAGAATCAGATCACAGTACATGTATGTTATATAAGAAATCACTCTCTTATAAGTGGCAGGGGGTCAAAACGGGTTAGTATTTGGTTGCAGTTGGTTTTAGCCATGCAAATGAGATTCCAATTAAGCAGAGGATTATTATTATTATAATTATCACAGGGAGCGCTAACCCCGTAGGGATTATACAGCGCCTGTGTGGAGGGGGTGGAAGACGTTTTGGCTCAATTCAGGGAACAGGAGCACAGATCCAGAATGAAATGTAAGAGGATGGTGACCTATGACTATAACTCACCAGACATCAACCATATATCAGTGTCCTTGAACATTAAAATGGTATAAAATACAGACAAGTTGTTAGGTAAGACACATATGCAACAGTTAGGTATCTTTATTTCGAAACGTTTCGCCTACACAGTAGGCTTCTTTAGTCGAGTACAGAGAAGTTGATAGAAGCAGAAGAGACTTGAAGACGATGTAATCAGTCCCTCCCCCTTAAAGTTTTGAGGTGGTCAGTCCCTCAGTCTGGAGAAGAGCATTGTTCCAAAGTCATATTGTTTCAGACTTTGGAACAATGCTCTTCTCCAGACTGAGGGACTGACCACCTCAAAACTTTAAGGGTGATGGACTGATTACATCGTCTTCAAGTCTCTTCTGCTTCTATCAACTTTTCTGTACTCGACTAAAGAAGCCTACTGTGTAGGCGAAACGTTTCGAAATAAAGATACCTAACTGTTGCATATGTGTCTTACCTAACATCAGTGTCCTTGTTGACGCTCGTCACATCCTTCCCATGAATAATATCAACAATTTCAGTATTGTAAGAAATTGTGAGGGGATTTTTTACGATTACACAATCTCGAATTAACTTTCCACCCACACACTGGAGTCTACCTGGAGGTTATTCCGGGGGTCAACGCCCCCGCGGCCCGGTCCACGACCAGGCCTCCCTGTGGATCAGGGCCTGATCAACCAGGCTGTTACTGCTGGCCGTACGTAGTCCACTGGGGAGAACTCTCGACACAAAAATTATAACTTATTGATGTTACTGTATCTTGGAGACTAGTGCGACTTTAGGGACACTGGACTTTAGGGACACTGGACTTTAGGGACACTGGACTTTAGGGACACTGGTCGCTAACAACGTCCCTCTTTCAATGCCTACCGTCTCAGCTCCCCAAATTAACATCGGGACCCTGGATTAGGATCATATGATTCCAGTATATTATGAAAATTTACGCCAATAAATATGGCGAATATAGTGGACTGTAATGATAAAGACGTTATTTGGGCTTGATTTCAAGTATTTTTTTAAGCTACTTATTTTCAAATTATTCAAACAATTTCAGATAACAAATTAATACTTACCTATTTAAAACATTGGTTGCATATCCTAACGCCTCCCGACAGAAAGGCAACCTAATACTGGCCAATACCTAACTACCTTACCTGTTGTGTGTGGGGGTTAATACATACTGGGAGGAGTACAGTTGTTATTATTATAATCAAAAAGAGGATTATTATTATAATCAAGGGGGAGTACTAAACCCGTAGGATTGTGTAGCGCCTGTGGGGAATATGTGGAAGGTATTCAGGCTTAATTCAGGGAACTGGAGCACAGATCCAATTCCCTAGATCAAGAGCCCCTCACCAGCATCAAGGAATCTTCTTTGAGGGGAAAAGAGGAGAAGTACAGTAATTATTGGATGATACATGTGGTAGGCAATGTGGCATCTCCAGTTACGCTTCCCGTTTTTTATCCATATCATCCTTTATGATTACTTTTCATTATATATCTGTGCCCTTCCAGATGTAATTCCTCTTTATTTATCTTGTATGGAAATAATTCCGCCGATAATATTTCCATTGGCCATGATTACACTAAAATATTCACTAACTCACCGACCTGTTCTCCCCCTACGCTATCTTTGTTTCTTCTCCGTAACGTTTACTTTGTACATATATATTTATTTAAATTTAGTGATATTTCTAGGTGTGTAATACATTTTCCTTATCAGAATATTATTTTTTCAATGTTGCAATAATTACATTTTAATTAACTGATACAATAAATAAGGAAATATAGGGAACATATTGGTTCCCCCTGCGACTTATCACCTTTCAAAAGTTACATAAACATTGCACACCTTCATAATTACATTACCATCACTTCCCTATCAAATACTACACACACATATCTTTGGAAAATTATCAAAATTTTCAGTTATGTTAAATCTTATATTTGTCATAATTTAAATATCGCATTTTTATGAAATTATCTATTATTTTTATTCGTAGTACCATTAAAATACTATTTATTAAAGTATTTTCATATGTCTGGGGGTCGATGAACAATCTGAAACTTCATGAAGGAGTTGATGGGCTGAAGACTGAGAGTGAGAGTCAAGTATGTGGGAACACATCTGCCTAATTTGTGTGTAAAATACTGACTTTTTCGTTTTATTCCCTTTAAATCACATTTCATACATCTGAACCTATCTCTCCCGAATGATTTCGGTATTTAATGTCCGAGGAATGGTGCAGCCTGGAGAGTACCCAATAAATTTTGTTTGTGCGCAGGTAAGTTTGTCAATATATCAAATTAATTAAAAAAGTTTTGACTTCAAAACTGTTTTTTTTTTTTTAATAAATGGGAGGTTTGAATTAGATTTCGTTTGTGTTTGTCCTAATTTGCCATTTTTCTTAAATTGTGATATTAAGTTGCACCTTGTGAATGTCTCTTCTGATTCACTGTCGCTATCAACTTATGCCGCACTCTGCACTATTCCAATAGCGTGCATTGAGATACAGGAGAATGTGAATGTTATGCAATACAGGTTTAACTTTCTCTGGTCGTACAACGACTGTAACACATCAAGTTCGCTTGTATCTTCCTCTCTGAAAAGAGAGAATAATTAAGTCAAATTTATCCCGTTTTTGGGAGTTTTATCAGAGACCTAGTTCATTAACTGATATGGGCCGCCTTTTTTCAGAATTTTAGTTCTCTCTTCTAGGCAGATGCCTTTCAGATTACCCTTAGATGATAATTATTATTATTATTATTATTATTATTATTATTATTATTATTATTATTATTATTATTATTATTATTATTATTATTATTATTATTATTATTATTATTATTATTTAGCAGTAATTTTATATTCCGTGTTGCTGTTCCTATGTAATAATGCTTCTGGTCAGCTTTAAGTTTTCACTGGTAAACTGTTCTCGTTTTCATTTTATTAAACAAATTATGGTTTCATAAAATTGGAGAATCATTTATTTTATGAATCATAAGTCAGTGTTTGACTTGGATGGGTTATGCTAGGTTAAAAATCTACAGAAAAATTCCATTATGTATCTGTGATATCCACTATTCCTTCTTGGCGTGCATTGAGGTAGAGCAGGTTGAGCTTGTCAAGTACAGGGATAAGTTTTTCGAATCGCACAGCGACCGTAATACATCTAGAAAAATAAAGAGGCACAATACCTTGAATGGAGCAATACACAAATACACATAGAAACCACGACGTTTCTCCCCGACTTGGGCTATTAATCAGTCACATCGTGTGACTAGCTAATGGTCCATTTCCGACCGTAACGTCGAAATGAATCTAGTTATAACTGTGTTCACACAGTAAGTTCCTATGGTGACAATCAGGTGTACGTTACCTAGAACATCCTGGTTTCTCGTGAATTGTAACAAATGAACCTCTCAGTGTTTCGATGACTTTGTACATTCCTAGGAAAATAAAGAGAGGAAATATTAATAACTGGAATATGTAATCCTTTGGAAAATCAAAATAGACAAAAAAAATAAAAAGATTACTCAAACATAAAATGCACGAATATGAATTATCGCTTAATTGAATCAAATAATGAAAAAAAAGTAAAACAAATTGAAAATGTGAATCAAAGATACGACATAAACAATGCAAAGGTTTCTCCAGGTATGAGGCAGCCCGTGCCACCGTAGTCTGGCTGTGGCCACCTGGGGTCCACCGTAGTCTGGCTGTGGCCACCTGGGGTCCACCGTAGTCTGGCTGTGGCCA